TGTCCTTTTTTTATGCCTCCCCCATTTTACACCAGTCTTTTTGCACAGCGATCTGCCAAATTCTGTATGTCCTTACCTAAAAGCATGTATTTGCAGTAAAGACATTGTTCGTTACATAGAATTCTAGGAGTCTCTCTAATGCTCCATTTCCTACTCCTAGGCTAAATTATCCAGCAAGATTTAGGTTCTGCTTTATTTCCTGCCTTTACATTCCAGTCTCCTGTGGTAATCATACTGTTTTAGTGTGTGATATACACTTTTCATAAATGTTTTTAGTTTTTTTCTTCAGCATCTGTAGTTGGAGCATGGTTATGTGTATGTTGTGGAAATATATTTTCTTTAATTCTAAAGACATTGTTCGTTACATAGAATTCTAGGAGTCTCTCTAATGCTCCATTTCCTACTCCTAGGCTAAATTATCCAGCAAGATTTAGGTTCTGCTTTATTTCCTGCCTTTACATTCCAGTCTCCTGTGGTAATCATACTGTTTTAGTGTGTGATATACACTTTTCATAAATGTTTTTAGTTTTTTTCTTCAGCATCTGTAGTTGGAGCATAGTTATGTATATGTTGTGGAAATATATTTTCTTTAATTCGGCTACTGTTTATATCTGTGTCACAGAAATATTTTTATCTTCATGAAATATCTGGTTTTCAGTGGTATTAGAGGCAGTTAACTTTGCAAAGGATTGGATTGTAAATTTTGATTCAGTGCTAAAAAAACAAAACCCAAAACCCCCAGCCTATTTAAGATACAAGTTGAAGATTTTCATACTGGCTCACGCTTCAGAAAGTCAGCAGTTGGATGCTAAAGCACAATCTGTTATCAGTAGTGATGTTATGACAGCTGTACATACAAATGTGGGCACACTGTCCCTTCCATGTGCTATCAGGACTCCTGCTTTATCTGAAAAATATTATCAGTAATGGTACTGTGTATTATCTTAAATTGTGCTTATTTACAGCTTATCATGCATGCATCCAGATCAACATCTCTTTGGTAGACAAAGTTAATTTTGTTCAGAATCAGGCTAGTGAGAAGGTTTTGCTGACATCTGTTGTTCAGATTTTTTAAAAAAAGTGGTAACTTCTTTTTGGTGAGGTAATAAGCAGGTAAGTAAAGAGAACGCACACTGAGTTGAAGATGGAAATAAATTTAAATATTGTGTTTTCCTCTGCTACCTAGGCACTTCTAACTGACTTATAGCAATTAGAGATGGCAACGAGTTTTTAAAAAAATCACCAAATTCATTCAGAAATCGCTAATTTGTTGATTCGTATGTGTACGAATCAGTGTCCCCCAAAAAAAAATGAATCAGTTTTTAGCAGTTTTTAATTTGTTGATTCATTTGGCTATAAAACATTAACTGAAATATGCTCCATTAGCATCTTTGGTGAACATTAGAGATGGGCACCAACTGAAAAAACAAATTACCAAATTTGTTAAAAAATTGCTATTTCATTGATTCATATTCATATGAATTACTATCCCTGACAAATACGAAGCAGTGAATTTTTTTTAGCAATTTTTGGTTCATTGATTCATTTGGCTATAAAATGGCTCTCCCAGGCACCTAGAGACACCAAAATTGCAGGGAAGCTTCTGCTGACTCTCCTCTACAATCCCTTCAAGCTTGGTGAAGATTGAGTTTCAGATATCTGAGTTATATAACCACAATGAGCACCCCCAGGAAAGTTCACCCCAGACATCTAGGGACACCAAAATCACAGAGAAGTTTCCCATGCCTAGGGACACCAGAATCACAGATAAGTTTCCCATGACTCTTCTCTACAATCCCCCCATGTTTGGTCCAGATTGAGTTTCCCTAAGCCACTTACTAAAGGGCACTTTTCCTGGGGAAGACCCACTTTGTGGCTGTATAACTTGGATCCTGAAACCCAACCTCAGAAGGACAGAAGACTGAGTCAAACCTAAGTTGGCTACCTGAGCCCATTGGGATTGAACTCAGGTTGTGAGCAGATTCTTGGCTGCAGTACTGTTATTTAACCACTGCACAGTGAAAAAGGGTCTCTGTTTGACTATGTTTTGTTTGAATGTTTACATGTGTGTAAATTTATATATTAACGGATGCATATTCAGCTTATCTAAAGTAATTAATGTCTAACAATGATATTCCAGATGACCTTACATCACATTTCTAACATACTGATATATGCCGCATCACATTCCCAGCTACCGCTCCTAGACAAAAAAAATGTTGCACTTGAGAGAGTCTGAAACCCACTCACCCAAAAAAACTTGACAGATATCCTTCTAAATATGACATAATTTGGATATGTCAAGGATTATGGCTATGGGAATGCATAGCTTACTGCTTAATAGCCTAGTATAGTTAGCAACATAATACCTTGGCACCATCAGCCATTAGATATAATGATTTTCCTGCAGTTAATGAGGATTCTCCAATAAATTAAAATGTTTCCATCTGCTCTCTCAGCTTCATAGGTGATATTTTCCCATAGCAGAATAATGTTTATGTCTAATTCTACAAGTAAGAAGTCTGATTATGGTGTAAGCTCTGTGCAAACATTGCTTAATAATCTATAACATAAAGTCACAGAACTTTGATGTCATAGGAGCCAGAGATAACACTTCTTACAATATACATTTGGAGAGAGATACTTTATTTTTGTGATTGAAGAGAAAATATGCATCTTGAACAAAGAGGGGGGAAATCTAGTAAATCAGTGCAATTACATTATGTAAATAAGGTCACACCATTAATACACTGGAGAACCTGTAATTCTCATGAAAAAGTATTACATTATACTCTAAAATTAACTTACTGTTGCTGAAATTATCGGCAGTATAGCATAATATATATGTGACAGGATGTAAATGAGTTTCTCTGGATAATATGACTTTACTGTGTTTGATTAGAATCTATAGAATAAGCACATCTTGACCCCTAGACATCACCTTTCGTAGAAACAATCTATCCATTCCACGATTATAAGTTGATATTACTTTTTTGGTATGAAAATGTTATTTAGATAACTTGTTGTTAGGATGAGGATACTTCAGATATTATGATTCATGTAACAAAAAGGGTTGGTACTAGACAGGGAAGCTTTCTCCATTGATTCAGGTTGATTTGTGGAATTTAGCAATGGCAGCTAAACCACTGTTGTCATTCACATGGAATGTTTAATTATCCCGGGCAATTCTGAGGGCAAGAGTCTCACCATAACTCAAATCCTTATAATTCTTACTGGGATCACAGATCCCTCTTCTGTCACTAACACAGGACTCTTCTCTGCCTATTTTAAAGAAGATATTTGTCAAGTGACACAGCACTGAACTTATATAATAACCTGTGAAACTTACAATGCTTATCTGACATAGCACTATACTAGAAGCAGTTATACATTTTTGTTTCCACTAACATAACTAGACAATAGGATCAGGGCCAATGTGTAGCTGATGAAAAGTTATTTTTAAAGAAAATGTCACCTAATTTATACCAGTGCCTTAGTGTCTGTAGAAGTTTTGGCTTCTTAATTTTATGTTGCTGCATTAAATTGAAAAGGCAATGGGATTAAAATGTGTGTAAATTGATGTTTGTAGTTTTGACAGAATTTCAGCCTTTGAGATATCTTTCAGAAGCTCTGTCAAATATTGCTTTAGCAAAAAAAAAAGTGTTTTATACAGAAAGCCTTGTGTGAGAAAACTTGTTTGCCCCAAATACCCTTTCTCCCTGCAAAATGTAGAGGTTTTGCACAACATACATTTACACAAAACGTTTTGCAAACATTTGTGAGTATTTAGCAAAAATGAAAGTAATGAAGTGTAAAAAATGCATAAAAACTGTCTTGGCCATGTTCAATGGGGAGACAAGATTTGAAATTTTTCATTCTCACCTGCAAGAATGAAATAAGCAAAAATTTGTGTATTGTGAAGGTTTCTTATTTTTTCATGTTATTTGCAAACAACTGGAAATATAAGCAATGAAACTAAAGCATTTTTGTCTTTTGACATAAAAATTGAGGCACACAATATAGGCAAAATAGGATATTGAGAGGAATTCCTATCCCCAGTTGCTAATTAAATGTCACTAATTAAACAGAAAGGCATAGCTCCTCTGCTTCTTTTTTATCCTAATGGGAAGGAAAATATTGGAGCAGGAAGACTAGTGTTGTCAAAACTATTTATGTGATGATAATTCTTAAAAGAAGGTTATTAAAGAAAAAACTGGACTTGACTGTCCCAGAGCCACAATGAAGTATTTTTACATGCCAGAGATCAAGAAATGCTGGAGGGAAGGAATTAGCCATATAGATAGCAAGGAAAGCATACTAGCAAGGAGAAAGCTTGAAGTATGAATTGCAAACTGTGAGCACAAAATAAAAGTGTCTGGAGATATCCTACTATGTAAAAATGATAGGCACACTCTGGCAGGTACAAGGTGGTTATGGTGATCTGGAAGAAATTCTGCAGCCCCTTTAGTTGAAACCTAATGAACATATTTGGTGGTAAAAATCATATTGGTCAGCTATGCTGGTAATCTCTACCTGATAATCCGGATAGGTTGCCTCTGGCATTCAAACAAAAGAATGTAAATTGGAATTGGACACCTGCTGTCCTACATCTGCTCTCCCAAAGAGTCACCCACAATATACATACAGACACAAGAAACATTCTTTTGTAGGGCACATTTTCCTTGAGAGCTAGTGATAAAGAAGTGCCCAAATTGCCCTGTCTTGTCTGTCTGTCCTGACAACTGTGGAGAGCTTGTCAAGTCACAAATAGAACACCAAAGAAACACATGAAAGCATGAAAATCACTATACTGTAGAATGTGGTAAAATTCATTGGAAATAGTCTTGAAGGACATGCAACAAGAGCATTTATTTTTCACTGTAACACTGCTACCATTCAGGTTTATTCCTCATAGAACTGAATGTTGTGCCTCAGTTAGAGTGTGAGTTTTGAATAAATATACCCTCTGCTTTCTTCTGCCTTTTTTTTTAAATAAACAGTTACTACAGCACCATCATGCAGTTCATGAAATTTCATACATTGCAAAGGATATCACAGACCATCGGGCCTTTGGATATGTGTGTGGAAAGGAAGGGAATCATAGATTTGTGGCAATAAAAACAGCCCAGGCAGTAAGTATCAAGATTATTGTCATTTTCTGTAGTTTAACTCAATTTGATAGCTCTGTCTGAGAAAACTGCTGTTTTGAAAGGGCAACCTACAAGCATTGTGTATGCAGTTTATAATCCTGTCAGAAGTGCCTGAATAAATGTTCTGAGATGGCAGTTTAGCAATATGAGTCTTGGAAAGAAAGGAATACAATAGACCCTTCTCAATTTTTTCTTGATGCATTCCTTCTAATTAGTAATTATTTTCCTTTCTAATTAAACTGGCTACACTAGCTGAATACAAATAAGTTTACTTAGGCTGCTACACTCATTTAAATAGAAAATGATGGAAAACAAATAGCTACTTTGCATAGTCTACTCTCATTTCTTTGTATTAAAACCTACTAATAAATATAAGCATTGCCTTTTATGCTTATAATTATAATAATCATTAATCTGCAAATATAATTAGCTTATATAGAAATGAACCTTAGCCTAGTTCAAAATGTGCAGCCAGACCAATAAAGCAAGGTACAAATGAATTCACTAATATGAATGGGGTGGCTTTTTGTTTTTTGTTTCTTTGCCTTTTCAAAATGCTTAGGGCTGCAGTCCTAAGAATAAGTTTCACAAAGCCAAAGTGCAATTATTGATGGGGATTTAGTCACATGGATTTCAAGTTCTGGTATACTGTATTTAGTCATGAAGAGCTATAGTGTCACTAGTTTGGCCCTTTTGACTTAATTTCACTCAAAATTCATGGATGTTAACAGTTTTTCAAGATAAAACTTTCTGAATATGAAGGTGACTGCTCTCATCCTTTCTATAAAATGATTGTGTTGGCTCTTAATTAGGATCTCAGTGACTGAAACAGAAATTTCTATATTGAGAGGGATGAACATTACAAATGGGAAGGCCTTGGGGGTGGGGTGGGGAAACTGTTTTCCCCCAGTTTCTTTCCAAGGGCTTCTGGAGAGAGACCACTACAAAAATGAGTGGGGAAAAAGACATCAAAACTGTGGAAGTGATAGCTAAGAAAATGAGATTGGTCAGACAATGTTTGTAATATATAAGTATTTCAAAACCTTTATTATAAAAAATCACCAGCCCTGGATGTCAGCAGGGGAAGCTTTTCAGTAGTTAAGGACAATTCATGCAGTGAAACAGATTACTCATGAGTTAGATGATCTATGGAACAAAAGTAGGAAGTCTTTAATTACCAAAAAGCTCCCCCTATCATTGGCACATTCACCATTCTTCAGGTGTCAGTTATGCAACAGGATTTAGGCCAACAGGTTTTATGATGCAAAAGTAACGTTTATTTTTGTAAAAGGACCTTTATAAACAGGATTGTATACTTTCCATCTCTCCCCTCCCAAATCTCTAAAAGGTTACAATAACAATTACCATATTTTTCCGTGTATAAGACACCCCCCACTTTTCTAACCCAAAAGTAAGAAATCTAACTGGGACTTAGCAAGTGTAGGGGGAAAGGGATCAAAGCCCTGCAGGATCACTTTGATCCCTGCTTTCCCTTCCACTTATTTTTGTACTCTCCTCAGCTTACTTCCATGTATAAGACGGCCCTCAATGTTTATTCTAAAGATTTTACACAAAAGTATAGTCTTGTGCACGGAAAAATACGGTACAATGGCACCCCGCATGACGACAATAATCCATCCCATTGAAATTGCTGTTTAGCGAAATTGTCGTAATGCAAAATTCATTTCCCCATTGGAATGCATTGAAACCCGGTTTAATGCGTTCCAATGGGGAGAATACCTTGTCGTCCAGCAAAGATCACCCATAGGGAAGCCATTTTACTAGCACCAATCAGCTGTAAAAATGGCTGCCCTGCGAAGCATGGGTCCGGAAAACACAGGGCAGCCATTTTGCGAAGCCGACGATCAGCTGTAAAAATTGTCATCTTGCGAACAAACAGTTTGTGAAGCATGGGCCTAGTCAACATCCAGCGAAAATCCCCCATTGGAACGACTGTTTTGTGAATTGCTATAGCGATCACAAAAAGTCATTGTTATATGGATTCATCGTTTAGGGGGGTCATTGTCATTTCAGTTGTTGATAAATAGGTTTGATATATGAGAGTTTTGACAAACATTTGGAAAAGTTGATCTGGAAGTTACCTGGGCCCAAATTTTGGTTCTTTGGTGCTAGTGGTGTCATTTCTGTGCACATAATTGCCTTACCTTCTAGCAATTGTACTTTTCTTTCAGTTTCCCATACATCCCACAGTACATCCAGCTGGAAAGAAGAGGGAATTTTAAATCTGGCATGCAGCTCCAAAAGATATTTGGAAAAAAAATCATAAACAAGATAAGCATCAGAGGAAATGCTGCCTGGTTGGGTTGACATATCATGCAATTCACAGAATCAATGGCAATTTCATTAATAGAAAGGATGTTATAAATAAAATACTTATATGCAGACAACAGCAAAAAGGTTTTGCTTGTATTTAATTTCATTTCACAATAATCAGTTAGAGGTTGATTGACAATAAGATACTACATTTGAATAACTTTCCCACATCTGGTTGGAAATTATGTTATGGCAATGGTTTGTTGACAACTGTCAGCACCTAGGCAAGAATCTCATTTAAGATTCCAAGCCAAAGAAGAACCTCTACCAGACACATTGTTTGCGTGTAATACTACCAAACTTTACAAGTTGATTTACTGGACAGATCATTTCCAACTTCTGCACTCATTTCATCTTCTTGAATGGCTTTCTCTTGAAGAGGACTGTGTCAATACCACTGATTTCAGTGGAGCCATTACCGGTTCTTTTGTTACTGTTATCTAGACTTTTCAGGGAACATCAGACTTTTGTTCACTATCCTTTTGTTTCCCCTATTATAAAAATAATCATAATTTTTGCTTTTCTTGTAGGCAGAGCCTGTAATTCTGGATTTGCGAGACCTCTTTCAACTCATTTATGAGCTGAAGCAAAGGGAAGAACTGGAGAAGAAGGCACAGAAAGATAAACAGTGTGAACAAGCAGTTTATCAGGTATCTTGCTATTCTTGGTAGAACTATGAATCAATTGAGTCAATGCCATAGATACCAATGAGAAAATTCAGTGGTAGTAGAGAATTGGTAGTAGTTACAGAATCCTACAGTGTATATGAAATTGGTTTTAAAAGATCCATTCCTGGTTGTGAAAGTAACTCTAACTAGTATTGCCATGATAATATTCAAGGATTAAAAGCAACATAGAATTTGGTGAGAATATTACTCATGTGAAATGGTCACATTTCCAATAAAATTGTTCTTTCCATGGTGTTGTTGGTTATCATTAAAACTGGATCATTTTCACTTATTACTGGATACCGTCCGATATACTAAGATGCTACACAGTGTTTGGTAAAGGGTAATCTGCAATGATATATACAGTATGCCTGTTCTTAAATAGGACACAAACAGTAGTTCTTTTGCTGTCTGATACCTGAATTCAGCTCTTGAACATCTGCTGTTCATATTCCTTCCCTTTTGTTTCTTATCTTCTACTTTCTTTGCGCTAGACAATTTTGGAAGAAGATGTAGAAGATCCTGTTTACCAGGTAATTCCCAAAGTGATATAAAAACCCTAATTAAAGGGAGACCTGATTAGCATTAACCATGGTCATCCCTGGTATATGCTTAAAGAGTACAATATTAGGTAAAGGAAAAGTGAGAGCATTCATGTTAATGAGATTCCAAAAGATATAGAGGATAATTTCTGAACAGTTAGTGTGCTAAATAGCTTTATGTTTGTACCAGTCACAGGCAGAGCTTCAGCTGCTGTGATTTCAAACATAATCAAGGCCTTTTAAAATCATGAATGTATTCCAGAAACGTACAAGCTTAAAAAATGTGGTTATTATTTGTTGGACAGAAGAATAGTGCTTGAAAGTTTCATGTTGAAAAAATAAACATGAAAATCTTTGTGAAAAGTTGTATATTCTTTGGACCTGTCTCCAAAGTTTTCCATACAACTTGAGAACATTATTTTTGTCAACATTATTCTTCTTTCTAAAGAACTGTGTATTAACAGTTAACAGAAAGTTGTTCGAAATATTATTTTGTTTAGTCAAGTTATACCTCGTAGTCTTGATCCAATCGCTAGACCCAGCCCAAGTAAAGTTAATCAGTGTCACTGATGTAACTGTGGACTTACTGTTCAATACTCTGTTGGTACTAACAATTGGATATACGTCCATGTTTCGAACAACAAAAAACACTCGAGGTAGCCTCACTATACACTTAAAGCTGCATCATAACTCACTTCACTTGTCATTTCCCCTTACTTTCGCCATGCTAGGAGGACTGTAACTAGCCCAAAGGCTTCTTTATGATGTCACAGAAGTCCGCAGTTTAAAAGTGTATGTATATTCCCAGTAGCAGGAACAAGAATGACCCTTCAGTTGTCTCTTTGTTAAAAAAAAAAAAAAAACAGCAGGGAACGTGTCCAACGACAATTAGCGAATTTCTGTCTCTCCTTTATTTCCTCTTTGATAAAAGAAAGCTGCAGTATATGCCTTTCAGCAGAAGTCAGTTGCTCCTGTGCTTGCTTATACTTTGAACCTGCTTCTGAACTGCTTGTCTGTAGTAATTTCTTCTAAAGTTCCAAATTGCCTTTTTCTACTTTCTGTTTCATCTCTGACCTTTCTTCTTTGGCTGCTGATGTAATAGTACATTGTGTTTGAGGCTGGACATGAGCCAATCCGTGAGCCTGAAACAGAAGAAAACATTTATCAGGTATAGAATTGCTACATCTTTGTTCTCCTTGCCCCCAGCAGTCAGTAAAACATATTATATAAACTTCAGTTATTTTTAAGCATTTTCATTTATGACAAAACATGCATACCATATTCATATTCATGAAAATTCAAGTATGGTTTGTACAGCATCATTTACCCAGTAACTTGTTTATTTTTCTCCATTTTTTTTTAAATGTAGGACTTCATTATTTATGTTCATTTAGGATCAAACCAAAATTGTATATAATTAAAAGTGGGGAAAAAAACTCTTGAGTTTTAATAGCTAAAAATAATTTCTAATAGTCAATAGAAGTGTAATTAAGTTGCCCCTGAACACATGCAGAATGCATTTTCCTTTCCACCCAGTGTCAGCCTATGCCTCTCATAGAATTAAGAATAAGGAGTATTAGTGATTTTGTTTGTTTGTTTGTTTGTTTATTTGCTGCTTTTCTCCCAGGACTGGGGCCCAAGGTGGCTTACAGAGTAGTTCAAAAATAAAGACACAATTACAACAAATATTGAATGATAATTAAACGCATTGTAGTATTAAATGCAATTAAAATTAATGCACTTTAAAGCAGGCTAAAATCCTGTCCCCTCACCAGAAGAAAGGCAGACTACCAATGTATCCAATACAAATCAAATAAAATAATTACACTTACGTAGGGTTGATGATGTCGTCAATTGGGCTGAAAAATATATTTCAGGTTTTTCTTGCAGGCTGATTTAGTAGCTGTAATGCAATTTTTGTTTCAAAACATTTTTGCTCACTGAAATCAAGTATTTCTGACCCTCCCTGCCCCATTGACAAGCAACTGGCACAGAACCGGGCTTCGTGGCTGGTAAGTGGTGCCGCTGTATGGACTCATATCACGCTGGTTCTGAAAAAATTTACACTGGCTGCCGGTTGCTGCTCGGGCCCAATTCAAAGTGCTTACTTTGACATATAAAGCCCTAATTGGCTTAGGACCTGGTTACCTGAAGGACCACCTTCTTCCATATGAGCCTGCCCGTCCTCTAAGATCAGGCCAGGAGCCTTTCTGAAGGTGCCAACCCTGAAAAAGGTGAGGGGGATGGCATGTCGAAGTAGGGCCTTCTCGGCTGTTGCCCCCCAACTTTGGAATGCCCTCCCTATAGAGATCCACCTGGCTCCAGCACTTTTTGCCAAAGGTCTTTGGCACTAGGCAAAGACCTTTCTGTTTAGCCAGCATTTTAATTAAATAGTATTCTTTAGCTGGCCATATGAGCAGCAGGACTTATTGATATTAATATTTTAATGATTGTTTTTAATATAGGATATTATTCTAAGATTGCCTATTTTAATGGTTTTAATTTTGATGTATGCCACCCAGAGACCATATGCGGCTATAAATAAATAAAGAAAGAAAGAAAGAAAGAAAGAAATAAAGAAATAAAATAAAGAAATAAAGAAATAAAGAAATAAATGTTTGTTGAGAGGATACAAAAGCACTGAGTCCTAGATTTAATTTTCATTACACACTTTTTTGTTATCTAGCCATGCAATTTTTAACTGAACTGAGTGTTTTTCCCTTTGGAAGAAAACACAATCTTTGAGTGTGGTGTAATGCAGCTCATTCATTTTGTATTCCAGAGGAAGATGCAGCTCAGATCAGGCCAGCAAGAGGAGGCATTTCAATTATTAGGTCACTTCTGGCACTTAATCAGAGTTCAGTACAACAGTAGATGTTGGGCCAATTTTAAAAATATGATTTTTAAAAAAAGAATCTGCAAACACACATGGAGGAGTGCCATTAAAAGGAAAGAAGTTTCAATTAGAAGATCTCAAGCTAACTGTTCTCATCTGTATGACCTGGGTTCAGTTTTCAGCATTGTAGGAAATTTGCCACAGTATGTGCTGTTCACTCTAATTCACTAAGGTTTTAGTGCTTTGCACACTTAGGGGACTTGCTTTCAGGTAAATACAGCATTATAAATAGGTCTACAAAAGTTACTAGTTGCAGCTGTTTTAATTATCTGATCTTCTGATACATACTCACGTGTATTCTTTTGTTTTTTGTGATTCTGTTAATGCATCCTATGTTTAATTTTATTCTGTGTTAGTATGTGATATTTGTGTGTTATGTTTAGAACATGTAGCTTTTTAATTGTAAAGCAATCCATAAATATTGTTGATAAATCAATCAAATTCCTGTTCAGCCATTTTTTTACCTAAATGAAACATGTCCTTTATAAAGCTGCTTGATTTGGAATAGAGACAATTCTTATTTGTATTCATTATTAAAATTATTTGCAAACCTGAATTAATACTGAGCTGAGAATCTGCCTTTTTCTCTTTCTCTTTTGGTTAAGAAGCCCAAAAGAATGACAGCAGAATTTCTGAAATCTTTGATAGTCCTGAGAATGTCATATAGTGGTAGACGCTTGTTTTCCCTGGAAAACTGGCTGCTATTTCGATGGTCATCAATATAGAATTTTAATAGAATAGAATAACAGAATTTTAAAAGTACAGCCCCAAGCCACCTGTTTTTGCTGTCTTCCTATAACTGTAAAAACAGGGTTATTTATTTGTTCGTTTATTTGTTTGTTTATTGCATTCAGTTGTAAAGGACTATACAGTGATTATTGAATAATTGGTGAACTGCATTTGACTTGGTGGATGACAAGTTCTGCAAGCCTGTGTTACAGCTTTTATTTAATATCTATCACTGGAGAAGGTTATGCTTAAGTTTATGACAAGATCCTTGTTCAGAGATTTAATAAGAAGGAAAAGGTGTGATGAGGTGAAAGGAAGGAAAGTGTTTCAGTCATAATGGGAAATGGAGGAGGAAAGAAAAAGAAGGAAAAATGGAAGAAGGATTGGAGAGGAAAGAAATGGAAGGAAGAAATGAATAACTAGGTAGAATGTAAGGAAAATAGGGAAATCAAAAGGTAGCATTAAATTAAAGGTGTTCACATTAATGAAGTGTAAAATGGAGAAATCTCTGTCTTTTTAACATAGAATACAGCAAAAAAAAAGATGAAAAGTCAGATGGTATTGAATGTTTAAGAGGTATACTGCGGTTGTAACATATAAGGTACTCACTGATGGAAACCCCATTATTTCTTGTACATTTGAACTGTTCTCCTTTAGGAAAATGAATAAATTTGACCAATTTTCATTAAAATACATGAACCACTGAAGTAGGATTATATTATGTAATAATTAGCCATCCAAGCAAGTCTTGTCAGCCATTTCTATGAAGCTCAAAGATACCTAAGCTAAAGCAAACATGTTTGGATTTCTACTATGAATGCAGTTAATCACACAGACTCTGACTTGCTATTTCTGCTAGAGTTTGGTTTGATGATGCTTGAAGAGATTTCAGAAGCAAACTGTTCTATTTTGACTGATGGAAATGTATGGAAAAAGAAATCAGAAAGGAAGGACAGAATTTCTTCTTAATCTTAGTTGATTTTTAAATTAATTTCTGCAGGTTCCTACTAGCCAAAAGAAGGAAGGTGTTTATGATGTGCCAAAAAGTCAACCTGTAAGTGTAAGTACATAGTGGGAGTAAAATTATTTTTTAAATAACTAGTTCTTAAACCCTCATACATGAGTAATGCTCAATGATTAAGGTATCTGACTGCAGAGCCAGAGGTTGGGAGTTCTATTCCCCACCAGTTCTATTAATGTAGGAGAAAACTTTCAGAGGCCACCCTAGAATCTTAGAGTGCCACCTCTTGTTACACTCATTAGAGGATGTAATTGGTATCTGTTTTTTACTTTGTTTGTGCGGGTTTTTATATTTGCGGTGTTGGGTTGCAGCCAACCAGCAGAATATAGTACCTTGTCTGTCTCTGTATTAATATTTATTCAGAATTACCCATATTTTTCAGTCCATAAGACGCACCGGACGTTAAGACGCACTTAATTTTTAAATACCGAAAATTAAAATAAA